TAAATGTAGAATCTGTTCATCTTTGGTACCTGCTTGTGTCCATTGCAAGGCATTGGTTTTGTTTTGTTTTTGACAATGCTGTATACTTTAATATTTATTTTATCTGCATGAATGTCTTATAAATATCTCAGTTTTTTTGTTATAAACGATTCTAAGAGTAAAGCTGTTACTTGGAGTTTGTACTGTTACATTTTCTTCCCATCCCTCACTTGACCACCTTTACTAAGCTGATCACATGATCACTGGGCTCAGAACAAATGCAGTATAGTTTGGAAAACTAATTACAGATGCAGAGGGAGCTTACCTGTCTCCCCTTTGAAGATAGATTTGCTATTTTTGATCACCTTAAACAGTAGCTGTCCTCTGTCTGTGTTAGTGCTTGTTGGTCTGTCTTTATCTTTATAGACTTGTAGTAATTACAACTATAGTACTGAAAACATTACTACTGCTTTATATATGTTTATATCTCTTGCAGAGCATTCACTTCTTCTACCTCATTCCTCCTGTGTTTTCCATCACAAACATTATTTTACTGGGACTTTGTTTTAAATTATTTAATTTTTTTAAAAAAAGTTTTTGCTGGGACCAGCAGTTAGCGTAATGGCTATGTTGCTGGACCCCCACATAGTTGACCACGGTTCGCGTCCCAGACGCGGTGACTTCAAACTCATGCCAGGCGTGTGTGCGTGTGTGCCCAAGTTCCCGAGAGGAGAATGGAGGAGAAGGGATTGGGGCGTGGCCATCCGCCCTGGGGGGATGATTTCTCGCTTTCTGTCTCTCTGTCTCTGTCTGGCGAGCGCACGCTCCCTATAGCAAAAACCTCTAAAAAAAAAAAAAAATTGAAAAAAAATTGAAAAAAAAAGTTTTTGCTGTAAGTAACATAAACTTATTTAGAAAGAAACTGAGACAGTTGAGAGGGAAAGTAAGTTATCATCCCCCAGGGCGGATGGCCATACTGCAATCCCTTCTCTTCCATTCTTCTCTGAAGATGTTGGGCATGCATATACACACCAGTGTGATGTTCGAGCTTTCACGTCTGGGATTTGACATAGTTGGCCATGAGGGAGTACAGTGCCTTAACCACCACACCACCTGCCAACCCCAAAATGATTTCATTCCAATGCATTTACTGCAGATTGATGGAAAAAATACCATTGTAATATGTAGTCTACTTATTTTATATCCTGCAATGGCAATAAGAAGACAATGACCATGCACAACAATTAGTAAAGATTCATAGGTTTAATTTCCCCATTCTTCTGGAGCCCTGGTTTCAGAGAAGATTTTTAGTTTGGTGTTCATAACAAATAACACAAAAGTTGAGAAATAAATGCATGGGGTTGCATTTCTAAATCCGGACAGCACTTGGCCTACATGAGCAATAAATCATAGCTTTCGGGGGAGTTGTGAATTACAAGGAGAAGTAGTCTTTGTTTTCTAGGACGTGCTTCCCTAGATTACATTTGTGCTTCATGTGGCCTAGTCTTTTATCTCAGCTCTTTAATTTTATGCCTGAACTGAGTGTGCTTTTGTTGTCTACATCATTGGCGCCTTTGAGTAGATCTTTCTCGTTGGCCTGATGGTGTGAAGGGCCAGGGTTTGAATAAGAGTCCAGGAAGTGGTTCTGGGAATGATTTTTGTATTGCCAGCAATGCTGATGTATTGGCACTGAATTCACATTTCCAAAATGTCACTGAACACTAACTAAAAACAAAGATACAAGTGTAGTCGTCACAGCTGTGTGCTCTTCTCCTGAAGCTAGTTTCTTTCTTTTCTATGCACAGTGAGGAATTTTAAGCCCCTCATTGTAAGATGAAAGTCAGTCAGTTTTATGTACTGTTCTGTAATGCAGCTGGTTACCCATAAATATTCAGGTATCATTGGGTTTAAGGAAGGGCCATTTGTACAGAATTGTCCTTTGTACCATGGATAACAGTTCATTGAACAAACAGAATGTCTGTGAGGGACTGTGGTGCCCACTGTTAGAAGAGGAAGAATTTCACATGCTTGTTAAATATTTATTGAGTATTCACTAGATATTCAGTTTTAAGATGGATGGGGTATATATCTGAATTTCTTTGCTACAGGGTAGAGCATAACATCATAAGAGACTCAGATAAAGCTATATGAACATTCAAAGGAGAGAGAGGGTTGACAGACTTGACTTGTGAATGAGGTTTATTTGAGCTGGACACTAAAGTAGATATAATTTGAATGTGTGGAAATAGAAAGACATGAACATTTATGTCAGAGGGAATTGGTGGAGGAAGAAAAGAAAATAAAGGAGCATGAATGGAGAACTCACAGGGATCTGGTGAAGGACTTTTGGAAAGGTAGATTGAGTAGATTGTTAGCATAACATGCCAGGTTAAAGAGCAGCATCTGGGACCAGCAGATGCCACAGTGGTTATGTCACTGGACTCTCATGTAGTTGACCACAGTTCGAGTCCCAGACCCGGCAGCTTAAAGCTCAGAATGGGCATGTGTGCATTCATGCCCAAGGTCCCAAGAAGAGAAAGGAGTGGTGTGACCATTCCCCCTGGGGGGTGATTTCTCGCTTTCTGTCTCTCCTGAGAGCGCACATATCCTGTAGCAAAAATCTCTCTAAAAACAACATCTACTGAGCAAGTGATGAAATGTTCAGGTGTTTTCTCTAACAGAAAAAAGGACGAGCTCTTCTCATCCTAAACCTTGGACTTCTCTGCCTTCTTGGGGCCTGCTCTTCCACATTTTTATGTGAGCTCAACACCTCTTTTGGATGGATATGTTACTCTTATTTTTTAATTGTTTACCTCCTAATAGGACCACATATTCTCTTTTTTCCTTTTAAACAAGAGAAAAACACACACATTTATTAACTAAAAGTTGTACATGGCACAGAAGACAAAACTGAAGACCCACAGATCCAGAGAAAACTGTGTTTTTATGGACCATCTTGCAGAAGTGTGATTGGAGGACAAAAGAGTATGGAAATAAACTGGTAATAGCTACTAACCAGTAGGTATTAAGTACCAATATGGTATTGCCAGCATTTATGATAATAACCTGGGAAAACCTAGTAAAGCCTATTCAGATTCTTGGTCTTTGGATGCAAGATAGGAGCCCTCTGGAATGAGGGTCTTAGGAACTACTTTTAGGCAAGTATTTGAGAGAATTTGTTTTCTCTTTAGATTGTAAAAATTCTTTGAGTATTTTGACTATTTCTTTTTCATTTATATATAATACTATAATACACAAACATCTCGATACTTTTTAAGTGGTCAAAAGTGATGTGAACTCCAGGAATCAGCAGTTAGTGTAATGGCTATGTTGCTGAAATCCCATGTAGTCCACCACAGTTCCAGTCACGGACCTGGTGGCTTAAACTCACGCCGGGTGTGTGTGCATGCGTGCCCAAGATCCCGAGAGGAGAATGGAGGAGAAGGGATTGTGGCGTGGCCATCCCCCTGGGTGGTGATTTCTCACTTTTTGTCTCTCTGTCTTTCTGGTGAGCGCATGCGCCCTATAGCAAAAACCTCTTAAAAAAAAAAAAAAATGATGTGAACTCCTAAATTAGAACTCTTCTTACCCTCCTATTCATCTCCGTTTTACCAGTTCACTTTCTAACATTTCATTTATGGAAATAGATGCTGATGGTTTCCTGGAAATACTAAATGAGAAGAAAGTTCAGAGTACCAGTGGATCAAAATAGCATTAGCTTGAAGGATGATCCTGAATCTGTCAATTCCCTAATGATAGAAAAGACCTCCTATGCTGGAAGCCTTCCTTTCTCCCTCTGCTTCTGTCTCTCTTGTTCTCTTTCTTCTTTTCTCCCTTCACCCATCATTCATCCATCCTTGCATCTCTCTATTATTTTTAAGTAACTACTTTCAGGTGTTTTATGTAGGTAATGAAGTGAAACATTAATCATCATAATCATAGAGTTTGTTGAAAAACAATTCCAGGTGGAAGGTGGAAGAAAACAAGAATCTGCATTTGGAATAAGTTTATAAACACTTGGCTGTAATTCAGGGGACCCAGAGGCTGCAGTTTCGGAAACAAAGAATGAAGGAATAGTAGTACTTTGGCCAATTACTTGTAGTTTTTTAGTATTTGTTTCATGTGGACTCATAAATGGAACAGGTGTAGTTTGTGGATACAATATAGTGGACAGTAATGCCCACGTGTGTCCTGTTCCTTCAGTTTTTAATTTCATTTGCATTTCTATGGAAGCAGGACATAGTATAAAAGGGAAACTTATTCCCTTCTTCCAGAAAAAGCCTCTTTCGAGCTACCCTTCACTGCTGCCTCGCCCCAAACTTCAGTATTTTAGGAATAAGGAAAGATCATTTATCACCACCATGATCCAAGTGTATGATACTGATAGTCCTTTTGATTTATTTTATTTTGAATTTTATAATTATTTAATTATTGAATTTCTAAATATTGAATTTTCTAATTATTTGAAGCTACCAGCATTTAAAAGTCCTTCTTCCTTTTTCCTGTTTCCTCCCTGTCAAAGAGGAGTTATTTGAAATGTCAAGTGTCTTTTTGTGACTGGGAAAAAAAATATGATTCTGTGTAAAGACTTCTCTAAACTGGTTATGTAGTAACTCATCTAGATCTCCTAAAGTCTAAAAAAGACATTGTTCTCTTGATTACATCCTAGACCTATTAGATTAGAGTCTTTTGTTGAGAGTCAATCACAAAACTCTCAAAAGGATTCTACGGTAGCTAGCTTGGCCTCCTCCATTGTACATATAGTCCCTACATGTCTAAGAACATGTGACTCGAGATGTTTATATATAATTAATACATCTCTCCAAAAAAAAGATGGAAGACTTCTTTGAGATCAGAGTATACTCGAATGACTTGCTTCACATCCATATTCTTACTCTACTGAACACAGGTTTTGCACATAGCTGGAGCTCATTAAATCTTTATTGAATAGTTGTGTTGAACTTCAAGGCTTTCTTGATGTACTTACTTGAGTCTTTTTTATTGTTATTGCTATCCTCTAGGATGGAAAGAAGAAATTTGACAAGGAGAGTGAAAAATACTATTCCATTCTTGACAAGCACTTAAATTTGTCTGCAAAGAAAAAGGAGTCTCATTTGCAGGAGGTAAGCTTTGCCAGTTGAAATGTGGAAAGGGTGTTAGCATTAAATCTGGTAAAGTCAAAATTTCCAGAAATTGAAATATCTCAAAATCTGCAGCTGTCTGATAAAATAATGACGATAACAATAGCTAACTTCATTGAGCACTTACAGTGGACAGAACCTCTGGAGACTTTATGACCTTTAATAGTGACAATTTCAGGTGACAGACTAGGATTTCCTTCAATAATAAGGACGGTTGAAACAAGATTTTCTTCATATCAGCTATAGTTTAAAGAGGCAGAACCTACTAAATTCATATTATGGCTTTAATGTTTTTTTTAAATATCTGACAGTGTTTTAAAAATTTTGCTTAAGTGTGTGGGGGGAGAAAAAATATAGAGACACATTTAAAAAAATCTCAATTATGGTGCATCAGTTTCCTTTAAGAACAAATGAATAAAAATATTTTACTAATGATCTAGCCACGATGCTGTGCATTTCTCTGATGCTATGTTCACATGCTGGGGCCACATAGGAGGTCTACTTCAATTCCAGTCCAATCTGAAGTCTGGGCATGGTGGCAGGTGTAGTCCCAGCTACTCAAGAGGTTGATATGGGAGGATAATCAGCTTGATGTTGGCCTGAGTAACATAGTGAAACCCTGTCTAATAAAGAGCCAGGCATTGTGGCAGGTACCTGTAGTCTCAGCTAGGAGGCTGAGACAAGATGACTGTGACAGCAAGACCCTGTCTTTAAAAAAAAAAAAAAAAAAAAAAAAAAAAAAGTTTGCCCACAATATTCCAGT